CATGTAATTTATATTCCTTTCACTCGAGTACTTTTTCCGATCGTTCAAAGACTTCCTGATTAACAGTTAGCCTAGCAATATGTGCGTGATAAACGCGTCTGATAGTACCACAACTCAAAAATGAGTCTAAATTTACATAAATGGGTTTTTTCATTAGAATCTTTAGAGGGGAGGGCACTATTCATCGTTTTCAAACACACTTTGCACAAGTGGTGCTTGAGGCAGAGTTGTTACATTCTTATCCACTGAACACGCTGGAAAAGCAAGCGCTTGAAAAAAGGAAACTGACTGATGCATTCACCCAGACACCGATCTAGTACAGATACACCAGCTCCATAGCGTTCATATAACACAAAAGATATCAAAACGTGTACAGCGAAACACAAAACAATTTTGTTATTCCAGTTAACTATTATTTTCCATTTTAACTGTTTCACTTTTTTTCTTTGTTTGTGCAGTATCCATATCCACCCTTGTTATTACTATTGTCATCATTGTTGTAGTGCTCGTACTATGCTTGTCTACAAGCCGGTGTTAAATATATATATATAATTATATTTGATAATAAGTATTATGTGAATGACTGGACAAAATTTCCATGGAAGCACACGACCGGTTTCGCGGTTCTTGCCACTCGTCAGGCATGCGTATCCGGTCAATTTTTGTCAGTTTATTCATATAATGGTACCCAGGAAGTGTATTTTCGTCACAACAACCTTGTTTGCAACACTGGGTAACCATTGGATAGACAGCTCTTTCACATATATATATGATGTATATTTTGTGCTTATTCCCGTTATGTGAAATCCCTTCCTTTAGTACCACATTCTTTCCAGATACAGAATTTTTAACATAGTCAGCAAAATATCAGACGTAAACCAAAAGGTGTGCTTCAAAACGGTAGTTGAACGTGGGACTTACCTCGAAACACCGGACAAATATCCCACAGTTTGATCGCACCATGTCGATGTTTCTGACCGAGAATCAGTTCCAAATAGAACATGGGCAATGCACTGCACACCATTAATGTGAAATAAGGGATGAGGAAGGCCCCTGTTTGTGTGTGTGTGTATGTGTGTGTTGAACAATGGAGAGATAACGGAAATGAGGATTGTATTTGGTCAAGATAATGAAGCAAACGAAAGTCAGCACATATGCAGTGGAAAATCAGTGTTATCTGGTTGCGGCTGAACCTGAATCTGACCGGCCAATTTCCAATTGGCTAGCATAACATCACCACTATGCTGTCCACCACAAAATATGTAGAAAAGGTTTGTTAGTTCCTGTGGTTGAGACGAAATAATTTACAGGGTAAAAAAAAACATTTTCACCTTTGAGATGATATTCTTTTGTTTAGTAAGAGGTGTATTAGTTGTCCAGATTGTTACTTTTCTAGGCATTGTAAGGTAGATATTTTATATTGTGATTTGCAGAAAACAGCTCGGGTGGGATTCACACCCATGCATAGATGCTATCTGCACTTTTGTCAGCTCTTACTCAACTAGGATAACCCCCAGATCACCTTTGCTTCGCCTATCCAACTGCGATCGGTATATTGCATGATCAAATTGACATATTGCCTCCTTTCTCTGGCAGAATTTCTATAAGATCCTTCGGGATGGTGGTCCGCAGTGGTTTAGATGCTTTCACCGGCGTGCTTTGAACTCTATGGTTCGAGTTCCGCCACCGCTACCCAACTTTGGTGGCAGGCAACTTTTCTATCTTCCGGTTCAGTATCACGCCTAATCTAGCGGGACCTGATGTGGTTCGCCCCTCCAAGTCCAGGGGCTTAGATTACGTGGTTTTCATCGCTGAACAGCAGATCCTTGTGACTATGGGGCTTTACCCGTTAGCTGTTCATCACACTTATTTATGCTATAAAAATAGAACAATTAGAATTTCGAGCTTCGGATACTCGTTATTGTTTAACGCTTGCCTGCGTCCAGAATGTGTCGAGATCCTACCACAGGACCCAAACCAAAGCAGGTACTTCTTTAATCTGTTTGCCACCGTCCACAAGTTGTCACCCACAAACAAATCTGTTTGGTCACCCCTCACCCTATCAATTGTCGCAGTCTTGACTCATGCGTATTAACGATCAACAGAATATATACTTTTCGTTCGCCACAAATGATTTCATTTCTTCGCTCACCCATCAAACTCGGTTAAACCTCCCCTGTCTGACTCACCCCTGTCCTATGATTATCGCATGGAGTTGTTTAATCTTATTCCGATTGGTCCTCTGTCTCATCCATGCGTCGCAATTGCCTATGTGTTCACATGTGCGCTGTACGGTTCGAACACTTTTTTCTTTTTTGTCTATTTTTCTTATTGACTACATTTGATTTATCTGGTGGAGAATTTGTGTATACTATATTCCATATGTTGTGTTATGGTTCACAGGACCGGCATATTTCTGAGCGGTTTCGAGTTCTATCTACCCTTTACGGAATGAGAACAGAAAATGTGCATGCGACTTTAGGAGCCCGAAGGAATATAAAACAGCTGAATGGTGCGCCTCGATAGTCAATAAGTACGGAGTTTTCCTCGGTGGGCTACAATAGTCGCAGTTAAAACCATGCATACGAATAACGTAATATGATTTGTTCGGTCTTGATCGATGCTCAGTAAACTCGCATCACTCAATATGCATGTCAAATGCAGAAGAAAAATCGTCTTTTGAAAGCATTCACCCATCCCCGATGGGATATTTCTTAGTACTTCTTACTGAAGTATCAGTAAAATCATAACTTCGCATTTGACTCGCAGTTACTTGTGAGTGGTTTGTGTGGGATAATTGATATTGATTGATTTGAACTGATCATCCTTCGAACTTCGCGCACAATACCCAGTTCATCGATTCAACCATACACTCGGAGAGGCACTAGACTCAAGTTTCGCTCTTATCAGAGCTCATCAGTAGTGCATATCCACCGTCCTAACGTCCGGGATTTGACATCCGGACCACTGTGCCAACCAGCAAAGAAGGAAGACACAGATGACAATCTTTCAACTCTAATCGAAAGCCACCCAGCATGTCAGGACTTTCATAAAGGTTACGGGCTGACTTGCAACACCTACCAGATTTGATTGATCTTCGTATTTGACTCACAGTTATAGTAGCACTACTGATGAACTCTAATAAGAGCGAAATTCGAGTCTAGTGCTTCCGAGTGTATATGGTTGAAACGATGAACTGACGATTGTGCATGAAGGTGAGGTCCGAAGGGTAGTCAGTTCAAATCAATAAAAGTCATAACTGTCAATGCAACACGAATATCTCCATAATGCTATCAGGCCAATGATATGTATGTGTCTATGGCCAGTGGTAGTCCAAAGAGAATAATTCCAATCAAATACTGAAAAACACGAAGCGGCTGCCTGATTTTCTTTGGAACGTATACAACCGCCTGGAAATCATTGACTCGCAATAATTGTGTTGGCTGTTACACGAACCCTGTCTCATTATGAACAGGATTATTTTGTAATAACTCATAATCAGGAACATACAAAAGAACATACAGATCACCAATCTGGGGGAGAAAATAGTTTTTTGAAACAGAACATTACAGGACCAACTAAAAGGACTTTTATGCCTGGACAAGACGCACAATTGATAATTTGTTGACGCTTATTTAGAACACAGATTTTTATTTATTCATCTGACCACGAAGATTACTCATGCTATTGAACGTCTGCCTCTACCAAGGTGGTTGGGTAGACTAGACTAACTTAGGTGTAGCAGCGGTTTTTTTTGGTGGCATACAGCGAAGGCACCGCCGCGGAAAGGCCTGTGGCGTTTGTGCTGTGGCGAGCATTTGGCAAAGAAACTACACCTTTTTCCATCCAGCTTTAGCCAAAACCCGGCAGTCCTGTAGCATCGACTTACAATTCCTTTGACCAAAACCGGGAATGCTTCAGCTACGACCCGTTTTACTTAACTCTCGACTCAAACTCATACCGCTGCAGCCGAGTCACAGCAAAAGATATCGGGGTCAACCAAAAATGAACCATTTTACTTTCTACAAATAATGATTTTGCAAAGCTTGGTTAATAAATGAGGAAGTATGATGATCGCAGGTTCCAGCACATGGGAATTGGTGAAAGTTTAAACGTTGCGCCCGTGTCGTCTAACCTTTTGACACATCTCACACAGCCTCAGTAAATGCAAACAGGTAATCCATACGAGGTTTGCCAAATGGTTTAACGACACGGGTACATCGTTTAAACCGTCTCCAATCCGAACTTTCTTATTTACGAACCAAGCTTTGTAAAATCAACATTAGTGAAAAAAATGTTTTAACATTTGTTAACCTCAGAATATTCCGGTACCCTTTTTTGTTGATATGATTCGTCTACACCGTTATGACTAAAGTGTTTTTGCCGAGGCTAATGCACTACGGGCCGTGGCTAACTCTTGGTGGGTTTCGAATAAAGCTTGATGGGAAAAGGTATGGCTTGATAAAGGACTTTGAACCGACAACCCAAGTGGTGGAATACCTCCGTTATGTTCACAGAGTAATTTATTTTATCTTGCTGTGAAACGTCTGCCATGATTAATGATGCAACTGTGCGACCATACACCAGAGCAGGAGCGTGCATTCATACATTCATTCTAACCATATCCTGGCTGTAAGCCCTATGTAACTTGTGCCCCTGGAACAGGTACTTAAGTATACACGGAATGAAACGGCGGAATAAATATAAGTATTTATCAGTCTGAAACACGGTTCATTTGATTGTAAACGATATATGACATGTGTGGTAGGGCTAGACATCCGATCTGTTCTCCCGCTATTGTTCAATCCCGGTCTTTCTCGAACTTTACCTCGAAATTCCAGATGAACCTCGTGAAGTCGTGGAACTAGGTAAATCTTTCCTCGAGAGACTCGAACAAGTGAGAGGATGTTATCCGCCATCGAAAAATCGCCCTATATTCTTTACTCTACACCTGTCGTTCCACATTTGCATTCTAAGCGGGTTTCGAAAACGATTTACCCTTTTACATTCTATCGTCTACCTATCGTCCTACCAAAAAACAACATTGGATGTTGCGTAATTCCTGACAACACTGAGTTTGGTTGATCCAAATTGAGTACAAAAACAATAGGCTTAGGTATTTTCACCGAAAGAACGAGCATAGAAACGGGACAGCTCAATAATTATTGAGCGGAGTGGCGCGCCGTAAATGCGCCCTAGTAGGAATCGAGTTTTAGAGAACGCATTCGGTAACTTACCTCCACCATTGGTGAAACACACATATGGAAAACGCCACACATTGGCCAAATCGACCGCATAACCCAAAATGGACAGAAAAAAGTCGCATTGATTTGACCACGTCTCGTGTTCTGCCACCTCGGGGGACAGGTCCACTTCGGACGTGCCGGTGTTGCTGTTCAATTCACCTCCGCGCGGAGGTGCCGAATTGCTGGCAACATCATCGTCTGACTGGGGATTATCTGTGGTGCCAATGTCTTCTTCTGCAATTTTAGAGAACAATGCCAGTATAGTGAAAGGTAATACAAATCACACATATTTTATTGCTCGGAAATGTTCAACTCTTCATGTCATCGTGTTGGTTAATGGATGCCTAGCGAAAGCCACACTGAATGTAATTACTACTACTGAATCAACCCTAAATAGCATAAGCATGGCTTGAGCACGTTTTCTCTGCTGTATTCTCCTTTGTTTGGTTGCAATACAAGTTAGACGCGGAATAGATTTGGCCGGGAGTGAATAGGTCTAACGCTTGCAGCTCGCTGACGAAAATAGGCGGAGAAGTGAGATAATCAAACATTAGAGAGGGCGAAGGAAAATGAACCGGTCTGATCAAGTGTTCGATAGTTCAGTGTGTTATAGCTCTAGGTCCCTGATTAAGCGGAACACAAGTCACTAAACTGTCAATACCGCTTAGATCGATAGCGAGGCCGACCAGTCACGTGACACCCGA